TATTATGAAATGGAGCGAAGCGATACAATGATAAGTATTTTTCTCCGCCTGACACCAACATTTATGACAGTAAAAATGCCACGATTTTTGACATCTTTTCTGATAAAAAAGTGAATTTAACTTAATTTTATTGAAATATTAACATTGAAAAATCCCAGTGATTTTTGACATCGGGAAAAACAAAAARAATGATAATTTTTTAGCAAAATCAGCCTTCATGAGAAATTTTTCTAATTTTATACATTATTTTTCAGTTGGAAATTCWTAAACATTTCTCTTAACATAGTTTATAATAGAAATTCTTATGAAATATTCTTAAAAAAAATTTACCGTAAGGTTACGCTATTTATAACTATGAAATATTTTCTACTTTTATTAATTTTTTTTTTTAAGTATCACATATTATTATTGATAAAATGATTGAATTACCCAACGTCTCTGCTCAGGATCGTTTTTCATGTACAATAATGAATAATTTATCATTAAATTCAAATATAAAACATCCATTATAAAGGCATGCACGAAAATTAAGAAAAATTTAATTTCAATCGTCTCCCAAGTAACAACCAATGTAAACACGAATATACCTTATACTTACAGTGTGAACTATTATATTATCATTTATCTACATTAAACATAAATGAAAAATATTTTTTTAATAAGGATCACTGATGATATTATCTATAGGCTATGGCTAATAAATGGCAATAATAATTTATGATTTTTCACACCTTGCTAATTATAATTTTTATTACTTATTTTAATAATTTTAAAATTAAATTAATYGGAATTTTCAACTAAGTATATTTTTTTATCAAACGTATACCTMYMTATTACTTCATAAAATCTGCTGTTAAAGTAGTTTTAATTGTTAAGGTTTTGGTATCAAAAGTTATAAAATTTATAATACAGCTTTATGCATCATTATTTTATCCCRACGAATAATCAACAAAAATAATCACACCATGTCACAATATTTTCGTYCTTTTTMAATTAATATGCAATACTTCTTTTGTGTTGAATAKATTGAATAGRTTTTGTTATACAATTGTGTAAATTGTAATATGTTATATTAATTATTTGATTAAGCGACAACTATTTGTAATACTGCGATATTGTTGTTCTTATAGAACAAATGATATTTTTAATTAAATCCTCGAGTTATAATTYTATCTAATTTATTTTCATTTGCGAATCCGACTACATTATTCCTTATTTTAGGGCGTTTTAATATGGCAATATATGTACATTTATGTACGAAAAATTGTAAGTACAACAGCCTGCTTTATGTTTTAGATTCTGAGCGGAGCGATGAATGTATTGATTTTTCCATGATGTGTGTTTTTTTTTTTTTGTGTGTCTGTCATCATGTTTTGGGGCAGTAAAAGTGTTTCGATTTT